AATTGCTCAGAAAAGCTTTGAACTCGTTCTTGAGTATGGAAAAATGATATGAAAGGTAACATTTCAGAAGCCAAAGATGTTAATGTCTTCATTTCTAAACATCGTAGTCTTTACATTATAACTTAAGCATCTATAACCTACGTATTCATATGTACGTATGATGCACGATCCTCGCAGTAGATAGCGCTATTTATGCAATAGCGAAAATCAGACCTGAAAAAAATCAGGCCTGTACGGGATTCGAACCACTGACCTCTGCGATACTAGTGCAGCGCTCTACCAATTGAGCTAACAAGCCAACTGGGAGCAGGCCGTTAAGTTGATTCGTAATAAACCCGTGAAAGTGATAAATCAGATACAATGAATATATGAAGTTCATATATTTTGAACTGCGGTATTAGATACGTATGATGCACCAGTATCGCAGAGGTCAGTGGTTCGAATCCCGTACAGGCCTGATTTTTTTTCAGGTCTGATTTTCGCTATTGCATAAATAGCGCTATGTACTGCGAGGATCGTGCATCATACGTATCTAATACCGCAGTTCAAAATATATGAACTTCATATATTCATTGTACCGTATTCATATGTTTTACTTAGGTGTCAATTCGAGTCTGTAACGGGAGCCTAAGGCAATTTCTTTAATAAATTTTTTAGAAATTTTGGAAATTTTTCTTTAGTTATAAATATTTCATGTTCAATGCCACAAATTGACAACACAATTTTATGGATCTTCCAAATGGACGTACATTCAGAAATAAAGAATTGATTCGACTGAAAGCAAATGCATGATGAAGTAACAACAACTAAAAAGACTAAGTAAAATGAAAACCATCTCACAATTTGCGGCGTATGTTTCGAAGCTTGTTAAATTCTTTCATATTTTCAGTTAGGTTTTAGGGGCCTCCTTGCACAAAGTTAAAAAACTTTTTCTGACACTGTATATTGATTTCACTGATAAACAGCAACATCTTACTAATTAGTAATGGTTCAGTCATAGTGCGTGAACGCAAAAGCAAAAGATTATACATGTATGCTCACTGTGCTCTCGCAACATTAGCTTCAGTATCCTCAGTGTCACGGTCCCCTTTTATTTTTGGCGTCTTTTGAAATCACTTTGCTGCACAAACTATAACTCCCATCAACATGCAGAGCACGGCACAGAACGAATGAGAACTAGCCTTTAGGCGCAGGCTTGTTCCCCAAACAGTTCTTTTATGGATTAAACTTGAATTTTTGAAAGTACCTTTTCGAAAACGACCTTATCTTTGTCACTTTTATATTCTGGGTGAAATAAACTCAGCTCGCCGGAAAAGCACCGCAGCTTTCGAAATAAAAATGAATTAACTTTTCACGACAAAACACTTTTTCCTCGCAAGTGATCGATTTAAACCCCAATATTATTTATCAATAAAAGAAAGTTCAAACAAAAAGACTCTTCGCAAAGAGTAAACTGAACGTTGAGAATCCCTGGTTACTATTACTACATTAGTATCTTCACATTCCACATGCTAATGAAATAAGTTTATGACGTACAGAATGCATGAGAAAGGATGTAGATTGGAGACTGTATTTCTTCAATACAAAGGATTTTTAATGTATCTTGATATTTAGATGAAAAGTAACTATGAGGGTCTCAATGGGGTGTGTAATATATTGAGTACCCTGTAGGTCATAATTGTTGTGTATGTACCCAGAGTGCATTGCAGCAATAAAGCTGTGTTGAAGTGGCCATGTTGTTGTGACCTTTTGGCTCTGTTTAGCCTAATATAATAGCAATATACTACATTTTGGCGACGAGGATCGGTCGTGTTTCCACCTCATTTACTAGTGTAAGGCTTTCGGACAACACTGTGTGTGTTGTGGCGTAAAAGATGGCCAGCATTAGTGCGAGCGGATTATCAGACGATTCTTAGATTATTAGATTATTAGCCAGCATTAGTGCGAGCGGATTATTTGAACGTGTTGGCGACTTCAACGTTGCCCGCAAAACGTTTAGTGCCTACGTCGAAAGGATAGAAATGTTTTTTAGAGCCAACACTATTGTGGAGACAACGGGAGAGGGAAGTACTGCCGCCAACCGATTGGTAGCGAACAGAAAACGTGCTATTTTCCTTTCAGAAGTGGGGCCGGAGGTATATTCAGTCCTCAACAATTTGTTGGCGCCTGCAAAACCGAAAGATGTGTCCTTCACTAACATTGTTCAAATCCTGGAAAGGCACTACAACCCAAAACCGCTTGAAATTGCACAAAGTTTCCATTTTGGTACCAGAAATCAAAAGTCCGAAGAATCAGTTAGCGATTATGTGCTGGCTTTGAAGAGATTGGCGGTCCACTGTAATTACGGCGAATTCCTCAATCGAGCGTTACGAGACCGATTTGTATGTGGAATGAACAATCCAAAGATACAGAACAAACTCCTAAACACGGTAGACCTCACGTTCGAACAGGCTTGCAGTATTGCCAAAACCATGGAGATGACGGACAAGAACACCCAGGAATTTCACCCTTCAAGCAGTGAAACTGTTCAAGTAAACAAGTTGACAGAACAATGGAGTAAAAACAATGAAAAGAAAAACACGGAACAATTGTCATGCCATAGGTGTGGGGGTAATCACTCAGGTCAGTCTTGTAAATTTAGGTCAGCAAAATGCTACAAGTGCTACAAAATTGGCCACTTAGCTTCTGATTGCCGCAGTAAGGATGAAAGGAAAAAGGGTAAAGTTCATAATGTCCAAGCTTCAGACTCGTGCAATGGTGAAAGTGAGGATGATGAGTTAGAAAATTATTCTTTGAATTCACTTGACCAAAACATGCCAAATCGTAACAGATATACTACAGAAATGAAGATTAATGGCAAACAATGTATGATGGAGTTAGACACAGCTGCAGATTTCTCCATAATGAGTAGAAGTGAATATCTAGATAAGTTTGTAGACAAGCCTCTGTCTCCTTCTAAAGTATTACTGAAGACATACACGGGTGAATTACTCGATGTGTCGGGGGAATGTAGTGTGACATAGTTTACAAGGGTAAACAATGTTCTCTACCCATCCTTGTAGCTAATTATGATGCCAAACCCACATTACTTGGTAAAAACTGGCTGCGGCACATTAAGTTTGAGTGGGGTGAGATATTTTGTATTCCCAAGGGAGACCCTATGGGTGCTAATAGGCAATTGACCACATTGCTATCTAAACATAATGAATTGTTTAAGGAAAGTTATGAAGGTATGAAGGGCCTCGAGGCCCATATTACTATGAGAAGCGATGCAAAACCTGTATTCATGAAAGCGCACAGGGTTCCATACGCTTTAAAAGAGGAAGTTGAAAAGGAGCTAAACAAATTGGAAAAACATGGGGTTATTAAGAAAATAGACAAGTCACATTGGGCTAGCCCAATTGTGGTAGTGCCAAAGGCTGATAACACTGTTAGAATATGCGGAGATTACAAGTCTACTATCAATCAGTCAGTTGAAGATGAGCAATATGTTTTACCCACAACTCAGGATTTGTATGCTGCTCTGGTTGGCTCTAAGATATTTAGTAAGCTTGACCCATCACATGCTTATGCCCAGCTGAATGCTGACCAAGAAAGTCAAGAATCGTATATGTGCACGATCCTTCGCAGTAAAGCACTATTTGAGCAATAGTGAAAATCAGACCTGAAAAAAAAAAAAAATTTCAGGCCTGTACGGGGTTCGAGAATACTTGACAATTACCACTCTCAAAGGCCTTTATTCCTACCTAAAATTACCTTATGGGGTTAAGTCATCCCCAAAAATATTTCAAGCAAAAATGGATCAAATTCTTCAGGGAATTGAAAAATGTGTTTGTAAACAAGATGACATCTTGATAGGGGGCAATGACTGGCAAGAGAATCTCAAGATACTTGCTAAGGTGTTGGACAGGCTGTACAAATACAACTTGCACTTGAAACTACCAAAGTGTGAATTTTTGAAGGCTGAAGTGATTTACCTAGATCTGAGAATAAGTGCTGAAGGTCTGCAACCAGTGGAGGAGAAGATCAGCGCAATGAAAAGAGCCACAGCGCCACAAAATGTGAGTGAATTAAGGTATTTCCTGGGCATGGCTCAGTATTATCATTCCTTTTTGCCAGGGTTAGCTACAATATTAGCACCTCTGCATAGGCTTTTGCAGAAGAGTGTTTGTTGGGAATGGACATATGACTGCCAGAAAGCTTTCGAGGCATGCAAGGAGGGCCTCACCAGTGATTCGTTGTTAGTCCACTACGGTCTGAATCGTGAACTTAAGTTAGCTTGTGATGCTTCGAGTTATGGTTCAAGTTGTGATGCTTCGAGTTATGGGGCAGTGTAATGTAATGGAAGATTGCCAAGAAAGGCCGATAGCTAATGCTTCACGTACCCTCAGCTCAAGTGAGAAAAATTATGCTCAAATTGAACGGGAGGCCTTGTCTATTATTTTCGGAGTAAAAAAATTCCATCAATATCTATATGGACGAAAGTTCACCAGCCACTGTTAGCCATCTTAGGCCCTAAAGCTGCCATACCCACACTTGCAGCTGCTCGTATGCAGCGTTGGGCGGTTGTCCTTTCAGCATATGACTATAAAATTGAGTACAGGAGGTCTGAGAGACACAGCAAGTGTGATGCACTCTCAAGATTACCCCATGAAGATTCTAAGATTGGCAGTGAGAGTGAGATTTACAATGTAAGTGCCATTGACAAAGATTTCCCCATAACTGCAAAAGAGATTGGGAAAGCTACATTGATGGATCCAGGGTTAAGCAAGGTACTTGATTGGGTCATGGTGGGGTGGCCAGAGGCTTGTGATGAAGATTTAAACCCCTACTATACCCGTGGACGTGAACTTTCCTGTGGACAAAATTGCCTCCTCTGGGGTTCCAGGGTGATCATTCCCAAAATATTTAGAGAACAGATGCTAGAGGAATTGCATTAGGAGCACCCAGGCATTTGTGCAATGAAATCGATTGCCCGTACTTGTGTTTGGTGGCCAAAGATGGATGAGGAAATTGAACAAAAGATTAAACTATGCTCAGTGTGTCAGGATGTGCGGACCTCTCCACCTTGTGCCCCATTGATACCCTGGAAATGGGCCACGCGACCCTTTCAGCGTATTCATATCTATTTCTGCCAAAAAGGGAGTGATTTCTTTTTAGTGGTGTTTGATAGTTACTCAAAATTAAAAGAGGTAAAGCACCTGACCCCAGTTACCACAGACAAGACCATAACAGAGTTGCGTCTTATACTTTCCCAACACGGTTTGCCCGAGGAGTTGGTATCAGATAACGGGCCACAATTTGTCTCAAATGAGTTTGCTGAGTTCATGTATAAAAATGGCATCAAACATACTTTAACTCCTCTTTACCACCCACAGTCAAATGGTGCGGCGGAAAGATCAGTCAGAGTGGTAAAGGAGGCGCTAGTCAAACAAATTCTAGAGGAAAACAAGAGTAGGTATATTAAGCATAGACTAGCAGATTTCCTTCTAAGATACCGTACCACCCCACACAGCACCACAGGTGCTACGCCAGCAGAGCTGTTGATGAGACGTAGACTGCGTACTCCTTTAACTCTAGTGAAACCTGATCTAGCCAAAACGGTAGAGAACAATCAAAACATGCAAAAGGAATATAAGGATTTAAAGGGTCATCAAGATAGGCTGTTTGCAGAGAATGACATAGTTCGAGTGAGAAATACTCAAGCCCGTAGCAATACTGAGAGGTGGATTCTGGGAAGGGTAGTCAAGGTTTGCGGGCACAGAAGTTATTTAGTTAAGACTGGCCATAAAACCAGATATGTTCACGTTGATCATCTGATTAAAGCTTATGATAAGCTGCCAAATGAGACTAGGGAGTTGGACATACCAGTCCCAGAATTGCGTGAATACTATGCTCTAGGTGTAGATAATAGCCTAGCTTCATCTGTTGTGCCGCAGCCGCCAGTAAAATTTTCAGATGAAGATAACAAGCCGTGTTCTAATGAAGGGAATGTAAACTCACCACCGCCTATAGTTCTTAGGCGATCAGAGAGAGTCAAGAAGCCTGTTGACCGACTGAACCTGTAGCAAATGTGATAGCTACTATTGTCTTATTTGGTAAACATCTTATTCTTGAGGGGAAGAGCAGTGTAATATATTGAGTACCCTGTAGGTCATAATTGTTGTGTATGTACCCAGAGTGCATTGCAGTAATAAAGTTGTGTTGAAGTGGCCATGCTGTTATGACCTCGTGGCTCTGTTTAGCCTAATATAATAGCAATATACTACAGGGTGATGAGCTTTAATACTGACTGTTGGAATTGTGGCCATTTTTTCGCCTAACGGCTAAATTTTTTGCAGGTTTACGGCTAACGGTTAGACCCATTCATGCTCCTCTCGTTGTGCGTATTATAAACGCCACAGCGTATTTTTCTCGATTGTATAATTTTTATGTTAATGAAAATAGAATATCAACGAGGTGGTTATTTCGTGTTTTGTAATCATGATGAGAGTTGAAAACAATCTGAGGAGGAGCGCATTCGATATTTTTCAGCACTAAATGATACATTGATCTATAAGCGTCCTCTGGAAAAATAAACCAATACATTAATTAACAATCTCCAGACAGAATGTTAGAAGACACCAACTGTTTCTTTTCAATTTAGTCATCACATAGCCATGCCGGCCTTATTGGCTTACGACTGTTGTTCTTGATCGCATGCTAAATATAATTTGAAAAAACAAGCAGACGCGGTTTTTGTTTTTGAAAAGAACACTTTTATTAATTTTGTTTTTACGTACTTTTGTGAAAAATGTACTCACAGAGTTTAAGTTAGCTTGCTCATTAACCAGAAAAAACTTTTATCTTTAGTGATGCTGCACGTCCGTTCGTTAACGTTAATCATTTCGAGCAAGTAGAACTTAAACGGCCACGCTCAACCAGGATGCATCACTGGGACCATTCTTGGCATTTTCTGTATTACAGAGAAGGAAAGCCTATCGTGTGTGTAATATTATTTGACTAAATCTTTGCAATCCTCATCGAGAACCGGCAATTTATACCGTCATTTGTTTTCTTAAGTGTCCATTGTCTATATGCTACGTATTTTTGTCATTTTCTTTCGCGTTCGCAATAATGTATCCATCGAAAATAGGACATTCTGTAGGGATGGAAAGCTGCCATATTATGTGGCTTACTGGATCAATTTTAAAAACATGAAATGAACGAAAAAGAGGGTATGGATGGGGGGGGGGGGGTAAAATGTCTGTTGTCAGTTGAAATCTCGGCCATTTATCAGTTCTCAACTACATTTTAGGCAATTGTCAGTTAAATGAAAGTTATAGATTAACTTGGCGAGTTAATTATTACTTTCAGACCCTATTTTTGGCTGAAAAGGCGCATAAAGCGTAAACTCGAAAACTGAGTCAAAAATTGATACAATAATTTATTTTTGTCAATTCTGGAATGAAATAATTCCAAGATCTTCCAAGTGACTTTCCAAGTGTCTTTGTTTGAAGGGTTTTTAAGTAAGTTAAATCTCTTATGCACACCAGTTTGCCCCTGCGCAACATGTTCGAAAGAAGATCATCAGAAAGACAGAAAAGTTGTGAAGAGTCTTCTGGCTCAGGATATTGGTTTACAATGCGTCGATTGCGATTGGCTCCGATGAAATGATCGGAAAGGAATGTTATTTTGTCTACTTTTCAAGAAGATTAGAGACATCTGTAAGCATACCTTAGAAATCCAAGCGAAAATGAGCGCATATTGGTCGCCCGGGTCTAGAAACCGTAATTGGGGTGATACCTTCATCTTCTCGGTCAGAAAATTCGTTTTCTGGGTCCGTGTCTGGGTCCGTCAGCATATGTTTGCACCTCAGAAACTGCTTCTCCAACGATACAGTCGTCAACAAATGTGACATCTGTCACATTCTCACCTGCCGAAGTAGCTCGAACGGTACCTTTGTCGCTGTTGAGCCCTACTGGCTGATCTCCAAAGTTAGAATCGTTCCCTAATCCCAAGTTCACTTTGGTGGAATCTTGTTGCGTCGTGTAGACAGCTGGTGGTAAAGCCCCTGCCTTAGCCTCGGTAGTTTCCTCCCAAACTGTCCTTTGCCTCAACGGACGATACTTCCCCGAAAAATCTTTCATGGCACTCTCAGTCTCGGAGTTGATCTCTTCTGAAGGTAAAGTTGACGTTTGCAAACTCCGTGCCGGTCTGAGGGACAGGATACTGAGTAGGATTCTTTATCATTAAAATACTTAGCTGCCCATTTTTTCACTGTCTTCAACGACTCCTTGGTAATTACATATATTCCAAAGTCTTGGGAATACTGCAATGCGGTGAAGGTCTCATGCTTAAGATGGGAAACCACGTGTAGCCTCTCCACAACTCTTGTGAGTAGTCGTATATGAGCACGATCCTTCGCAGTAAAGCACTATTTGAGCAATAGTGAAAATCAGACCTGAAAAAAATTTTCAGGCCTGTACGGGATTCGAACCACTGACCTGTGCGATACTAGTATCGCGATACTAGTATCGCAGAGGTCAGTGGTTCGAATCCCGTACAGGCCTGAAAATTTTTTTCAGGTCTGATTTTCACTATTGCTCAAATAGTGCTTTACTGCGAAGGATCGTGCTCATATACGTCTCATAACCGCAGTTCACACATATGTTTCATATGTTTGTTGTTGTTTGATTTATCATCTACGGGTTTATGTCGAATTAATTTGATGGCCTGCTCCCAGTTGGCTACCCCTAAAATTGATCTGTCTGAAATAGTGAATTTAAGCAGGTACATCGGCTATCTTAAGCATTCCTTGGTAATCTGTGGGCAATCCGAGGGAAATCCGAAGGCAATTCGTGGCCAATCCGTGCACAATCCGTGGACAGTCCTTGGGCAATCCGTGGGCAATCCAATTACAATCTCTGGGCCGTTTGTGGGTAATCTTTGGGAAATCTTTGGGAAATCCGTCGGAAAACAGAGGGCAGTACGTGGGAGTTACTGGTTATTTTATCTTACTCTTTCCCAACCCGCCTAGCCACGTGTAATCAGAGCACGTGTTTTGTATATATATCTATAGTTAGATTTTCAGCGATTTTCAGCGATTTTTCAGTTGTCAGTTAAAATTTTGGCCATTTGTCAGTTGTCAGTTAACCCCATCCAGACCCTCGAAAAACAGGTCTAGGATTTGCAGAAAACGACCCAGCATAACAGTAAGGCGTAGTTTACACGATTATTTGCGAGTGCACAAAGGTTGACATAGGCGAAACTGGCAGACCTTAATTAGCAGAAGAGGATCAAGAAACACGACAGGGATATTAGCCTCGCTAAGACGCAGACTTCCGCCGTCTCAGAGCACGCCCACGACAACGGACTCCGCCCGCTCTGGAACGATGTTAAGTTTATTGATCCTGATCCCCATATCTACGCAGGAAGGGTAAAAGAGTTAATCCACATAAGAATTCACCCTATCAACATTAACAAAGACAGTGTTATCGAAATTCCACAAGCCTAATGCCGACGATCAAAAGATAAAACAGCAGGAGAGCCTTACGGTAGTGGACCACAGAGGGAACCTGATCCGGAAGACGCACCAATTACAGCCGTGGAATTCGATCCAATCACGGCTGAGCGCAACGGCATACAGGTGAGGCGTACTCAGTCAACCTCATCGCCTTAAGAAGAACAGCAGTATGCCGTCGAAACGTCGCGATATACATACTGAGTGACCATATTGTGAGAAAAACGATTGCGTTTCTCTTTTAATTTTAAAGTGTTATTTACCACGATAAATAATCACAACCTATTTTACAAAAGTTCAAGTGTTCAAAGGTCTCCGTCTCTTTGTAATGCGTTTAGATGTCAAGGGTCGATTCTGCGTTAAAGCTATCTCTTTCGTACACTTTTGTGTCCCAGAGTCTGGTATTTTTAATAATCACCATCAGCATCATCGGCGCCAGCATCTATCATCGTCGTTACCATAATCGTCGTCACTGAGGTCATAGTTCGTATCGCTATATTTAACACTATAATTGTATTCACATCAATCACTCAGCATCACATCATTCTCGCCATTATCATTATTATCACCGCCATCGTTTTCATCGTCATCTTTATTGTTATTGTCACTGTCATCTTCGCTGCCATTATTACCTTCAGCACAGTCCTGTCAGCATATATGCCATCATCGTCCTCATTGTCAACACCAGCCTATGGCTGCTATGTTTTCAGTCAATAAAGTCAATAAACTATCCATCTATCTATCTATCTATCTATCTATCTATCTATCTATCCATCCATCCATCCATCCATCCATCCATCCATCTATCTATCTATCTATCTATCTATCTATCTAATTAATTATTAAATGGCAAATCAGTGAGGATGAACGCTGTTTTTCCCGCTGAGAGCGTTCCTCGCGAATTCCCGAATGGAAAAAAATATTCGTCATCTTTTGCCGATGAAAAGAAGCCTGACCATTCTCGAGTCATTGTGTTTTTGGCGTCGCCTCGATTTTTGCCGAGGCGCCTGAAAGGAGAGCGATCGAAGTACTTTTCACAACTTTTGTGGAGCTTGCTAAGTGCGGTTGGAATAGTCTTCTCTCGATACAAGTTAAAAGTCGCATTTGTTTGGTTCACAGATAAAATATGAAAACTTAGAATAAAAGCTCTGATGTTATTAAAGGAGACCCTTCTCTTCAACCTTAATTTGAATATCGAAAATTTACCTAATTATAGGGAATCTCTAAAGGGGCTAAAAAAGAACCGACCAACATTTATACCTCAAAGAAGTCCCTGATATCCTCAAACCCCCTTTATAGCTTTCATCCACGAACAGTTAAAACTTACAACGTAGAAATTTGTTTTTATTCAGCAATGGTAAACAAGTCTGTAAAGGTGGGAATAACGTTTTAAATTCGCGCATATCTCTTAGATATTTTTTAATCGGAGAGAAGGAGTAGAATAACATGAAATAACAAGCAACCCGTCCCCAGTAGGTATGCCTGTTACAAGTGTTTCAGTGTTATTAACATACTTGTTAATGCAAACCTGTTGAGGATAGTTGGGTAGTAAAAAAAATATTTTTA